AAAATAGGAAAGCAACTAGACTAACAGTGACTTTCTAATGGCAAAAAGTCTTACTTCACGTCTGAACCAAAACCGAAGTCATGCAGGGCCGAATTTTAATTCTAAGGATGAGTGCGCTACGTTAATTTCCGTTATTCTGAAACAACAATTAGTCGAGATGCTCACTGTATATATATATATATATATATATATATATATATATATATATATATATATATATATATATATATATATATATATATATATATATATATATATATATGAATGCGGCTAAATTGTAGTGGCCTGCCGACATTCGGCTCGGCGGACATGCCCTATTTATATGCCGAAGCTGCATCCGGCAAGCCTCTTTCGGCCCAGTTATGGTGCCGATTAACTGTGCATTGGGTAATGACAGAATATTAGGCAGATGTCTTTTTACAGATAAATCCCTCAGTTCACAAGGAATGGTATTTTTAATTTAAAAAATTCCCATATGTGAGCAGAAGAAAATCTCTTTGCAATAAGGGAATGTCATTCCCAACAAAAGTTATCTGTGAATATTTGATGCGGTGTCAATGACAATAAACTAATTGGATCCCATATCTTTGACGATAGATAAACTGGTGAAATTTACTTGGGACTTTTTCGAGAACATTTTATAAGTGCTCTTACAGGATGCGGGTGTTAATGTAGGTGGAATGTATTTTCAACACGACGATGCACCCATATGAGAAATTTGTTAAATGAAAATTTTCCTAATACGTGGCCATCAAGGTCACCTGACCTAAATCCTCTAGACTTTTACGTTTTGGGTTACCTAAAATCAAAAGTTTATTCCACTGTCATACATAACAGTAACGTCTTCAAAGAATACATAATTCTTGCGAAGAGTTAACAAACAATCCAAATGTTTTGAGAAGATCGGTTCGCAATTTGATAAAGAGAGCCAGATTATGTATGGAACAAAATGGAGGACATTTGGAACAATTATTAAAATAAATTTGTTCGGAATTTTTAGTTATTAGGTATTTTTTTATTATTTATTGTTAATACATAGTATTAATTATTTAGATTAAACCATTTTTTAGAGTTTCTATGTTTCATATTTTTTGTTTGTAGCATTTTTCCAGTTCGTGTGGATTAGGCCTATTGGGGATACTACAATAAAAAAACGCACCATGTATTCTACCTCTTAGTGGTGTGGAAAGGAATACCATGTGGAAATCTTCAATTTTTTCATGTAAAAATTAAATAATCAATGATTAATTAATAAATGAATATTTTTATTCAATAAGTTTATTTGAGGAATTTCCATGAAAAAGTTAAGTAAAATTAATTTTAATGAAAAAAAAAAATAATTAAAACCCCTTCAACTACATTTTGCATAGACTAAAATTCTCACACTGTACATTTTAACGTTAAAATTTGGGTAATAAAACGGCTTGCGGAAAAATAAAAAGTTGATGAATGTATTCAGTTTTTTATGCTCTTTCCAAATTTGAAATTCGATATCAATAAAATATAGTGAGTGATTCCAAGGTTAGGGAGCACGGAAGAAATGGGCCAACTTCGAAAAACTCGGTTATAAAGGTCGCAAGACCCATACTATATCCCCTATATATAATATATCCTCTATATAGGGTTAAAATATTTCCCTTTCCCAATGAAACCCTGTACATTCCTATTAGAATAAATGACACTCAGATTCCTTTTGTCAGTACAGCAAAATATCTGGGTATGACACTTGATGCTAGACTTCACTGGAAAGTCCTTATTAAAAAGAAACGCGAAGAGCTTGGTATAAAATACAAAAGAATATATTGGTTGCTAGGAAAAAATTCCAAATTATCCACATACAACAAACTGCTCCTTTACAAGCAGATATTGAAACCCGTATGGACGTATGGTATCCAGCTGCCAGTAAAAGTAAAACGTGGTGGTCATAGTACCCTACTGGAAATCGCAGCCATGGTTTCCTATATTTACGAAATTACTTGTTGGTGACTATATCTCTGTAGGCCAACAAAAATTAAAAAAAAATTGTTGCGTCCTGAGGTCGAGCCTTACCCTGGTTATAGAACTCTTTTTAGGAGATCGTATGAAGGTAATGGATTGAAAATGGTAGAAGTCCTTGTGTAAACAATATCATTGAATTTTTCAATACTATTAGATCGTGTTGAATATTTTGTCAAAGAATACAGAGGATCACTTGATAAATCGTTTTTTAAAGGGTATTTATAAACTTCGTCCTACATTTCCTAGATATTGTCATACACGTAGGACCCGTAATCTCTTATCTTACTTATTATCTTTATACTACTTGCTCTTTGCACACATAGGATAAATATTAATGCCGAAACTATTGAAATCATCCGGTCCGGGTCATGATCAGCCTAAGTTAAAAAAAAAAAACTGAAATATGTGTCGCATCGGTATTATTGTTTTACATTGAGAAAACTAAATTAATAAGAGGTAATATTGAGAAATTACTAATTACACATCGCAAGCCTTACCATGCAGTATCCTATGAGACTGTTTCAAGGTGGATAAGGAAAATGTTAAATAAAGAAGGTACTGATACGAATATTTCTTAAGCCTATAGTATTTAAGGCATGCCGCTTCTTTAGCGGCATTTAGAGCTGGAGTTAACATAGAAACGATTAGAGCTGCAGCCGGTTGATCAAATATTTCCCAAAATTTTATTAAGTTTATAACAGGCCGCTTATCAATGACAATGAATATAGTGAGAAATATTAACTCTTGATTTACAAATTAGAAATCTAAAATTTGTTTAATTTTAGAGATTTACCTAATGGAATATACCGGGTGTTCAACTTAAAGCGTTACAGCTATACACCGCTTTTTATAAAAAAAAAAACGTTTCAGACGAAAGTTTTATAGTTTTGTGGGGAAAAACTTTTGGCTAAAATCGTTTTTTATAGCTAACCATAATATGGCCAACTTTTTTTTCGCGCAGCAACATTTTCAAGTAGCTGTTACTCAAAAAGTAAAAGTCCAATAAAAAAAATATTTCCCTCAAAAGTTTCTTATTTTTTTATGTACTTTAAGAATATGTAAAAAAAATGGGATTCCCATTTAAAAAAACAAAGTCCACCTCGATATGGCCATATTATGGTCAGCTACAAAAAAATGAATTTAGCCAAAATGTTTCCCCCAAAAAACTATAAAACTTTTTTCTAAAATGCATATTTTCGGCGGTATTTGACTGTAACACTTTAATTTGAACACCCGGTATATATACACCTATTCGTATTTTGATATGGCATTAGATTATAATTAAAATAGTTAAATAATGAAAACATATAATTTGTTACTTTGTACTCTTTTGTATTATTTTTAATGGAATTGTTTAAGAATGAATAAGAATTTTGATAAAAATTTTATTAATGAAAGTTACTTATTTATTATAAGGACTTTACTTAAGAATTATCGCTCCCGTGCTTTAAACATCTACATGTGTGTTCTATCAGGACCGGACCAGGAAGTATAATTTAAGATTAAACGACTTACCTGTAAGGAAGTTCAATCGTAATTATACGACTGGTCCGGTCCGTATAGAACATCCCTCCCTTTAAAGTAAGGGCTTACTTTTGTACTTTACCCAACCCGAAAGGTCGCGATTACTAAAACGCGTAATGAAGTATGGGTGATGTGATGGGACAAGAAATTGTTTTGTTTTCTTTAAAAATAGTGTACGCTTGCATAAAATGAAGCAACTACATGTGTGTTCTATACGGACCGGACCAGTCGTATAATTACGATTGAACCTCCTTACAGGTAAGTCGTTTAATCTTAAATTATACGTTAACGGTAGTGTATCTAAATAATTAGACAAGGTACCTACACTAGTGAGTAGAATCTTAGTTTATGAAGTTTTTCATCCCTAGATGAATTAGGTTAGAATAAAATTACTAATTGATCTTAATGATCAGATTGTAATAATCGTAAATACTTCTATACACGGGGCATTCTTATGGCATTTTTATCTCAGTGTCGACGCTTATCTTTTAGAAGCGTTAAATGTTTAAATCCAATTCTTCAACTGCTGGACTCTTCCGACATGATGTTCTTTTTTGAATTTTTAAGTATATAAACCTAATAGATAATTTAATAATTATGATGGCATAATAGATCTATAATCATCCCATCATTAGATCATGACCAACTTTATGTGGTACCCTGAGTACCTACCAAGGGCGGCTCCGAGACGAATTTTCGGTGGGGGTCGCGGCCTTTAGCCATTCTCTTTTTAGCATATTTTTTAATAAATCGTAAGAATTTTCATCTCGGAGAGGGGGGGTGGCCCCCATAGCCCCCCTGGAGCCGCCCTTGGTACTTACTCCCTTTCTAACAAAAAAGTATCGTAGAAATCGGACATGGTAAAGAATTATCGCCGAAAATACATAAAAAAATCTGATGAACTGAGAACCTCCTTTTTTAAAGTCAATTAAAAATGTGGATAAATGTATGTCAATAAGTTAAAATTTTTATTTCATCAGAAGTCATGAAACATTTTAGGTGTGACAGTTACGCAAAAATTAATGAATAATTTCTTAGTTTTTATAAGTTATATATAATATTGACGAATACCACTTGTCCTACACGGAGTAATGACGATTCGATATAACACGTTTCGTGTGATTTTACTAATATTCAATTATACTGACAACACTCGTCATTTACTAATTGTCAGAAGTAATCCCCACGAAAAATGTGTCTAAAGTAGCTCTTTATAAGTTTCAGTTTTACTTGAATTCAGAGCAACACGTATTTATTATCAGTGACATGACTCCGTATCTCTGTCTTTGACAGTCACGGCCTACTTTAGAAACATATTTTGTGGATTACTCCTTATTTTGGGTATATTAAATGAAAATATAATAAATAATAATTTATTAACACAATACCTACAAAAAAACTAAGTAAGTGCACAATACTGTAAAAGTATCTAAAAATATAAGATTTTTTATAAAACAATACAAAATTATTTTATTGAAAGCCACAATTAAATATAAAAATACGCACACATTATCATTGTATCAGCGAATGACAGTTCATATTTAGTCAATTTTACTACCTACGTAAAACATAAAATGTTTATTGAAAACAAACAAAATAGCTATTTATGTAACCACTTACGAAATGTCTTATTTTATGTAACGAGCAGAGCGAGATCCTGCAACATGAGTTACACAAAACGGTATTTCGTAACGTCTTACATACAGTATTTTTTTCTAATTTTGTCAAATTATTTGTAAAATTGTTTTGGTAAAATATCACTGACATTGAGGCAACCATTATTACTTTCTTGTAATGTTAGTTGCATATGAATAATTTTATTGACAAATAGAAAATCATTAATTATTTATTCTCAACGACTTGTAGTGTATTGTTTTAATTATTTTGTGCTGACTAAGAATGTAAAATAAGGATTAAAACAACATTAGTAGGTACTAGGTTATAAGTTTAACCAAATTCTAGTTTTATAAGTCAATCTGCCCTTCTTTGATATAAACTTTTAATAATAATGTATATTATTGATTTTAAAACCAAAAAAGGTTTATTTTTATTTGTTTTCTTTTTGCAACTGGTGATATAATGAATTTTTTGTAACCAGTTTCATAATGTTCAACATTGTGCAACTGATTGTGTAAAGTAGATCATTTTGATGTTTGCTGCGATTATAAAAAATTACACTTTATATGTCAAAATTAGAAAAAAATATTTTATAAATTCTTTCTACCACAATAATGTGGACGGATATTTTATGTTGTCATGTACTTAATTAATTTTAAGTAAACTAATATTTGAATAAGAGCCAAACATAGACTTTATTTTAAAAGAGTATTTGCTACAATTGGATCCAAATAATCGAATATTAACCTTAGACTACTGCTGCGTTGTTCTCTGAAAAACTGAAACTTCTATTCTTGTATCATAAAAAACTAAGGGGATATAATAGAGAGATATTGCAAATTTCTATAAAGCCAGCCACTAATAGTGACATTGTAATTACAGTCAAATAAATTCCATGCTAAAATCAGACTTATTGCAAACCTGAAATTTTGATATTAGAATCCTTGTCTTTATAGTTATTTCTAACCTCATTTTAATAACTTTAAATTATAGTTAATCTTTTTTGTTGTCTTTAATAGTTCATAACATTGAAGAGGCATTAGAAATTATAATTTAAGAAGATTTAGATGACGATTATATTAAATATTTAATATTAAAAAAACTTCGAATGGATACGAATGTCGGCGAGTGCACCCGAAAGCTATAAAGTCGCCACTACCTGCTGCATTTAAACATCCACAATTAAGGACAGGCACAATCTTTAATAAAGTCAGTTTTAGAACATAAACGATCTGCGCATGCTTAGATGTCAAAATAAGAGCGACACTAATAGTGACTGACTTTAAGTTATACCTCCATGCTTTAAGTGAGCTTGCAACTCTCTGATGTCAAAACAAAGTTGCTAACCTATTTCTTGTCAAACAAAACACATCACCATGATAACAGGGGTGCGTTCAGAAATCTAGGGTAATTATAAACGCGTTCAGACGTCTAAATTATAAAAAGCGTTCCTAAATGGGGAACGTTTTATCGCGACTCATGACCACCAGCCTTTTCTATTTAAAATACAAATGCGTCGAGAGTTTTACCCACCATGTTGAGTAGAGTAATTTTTTTACTGACTTGCGCAGTATGTTTGTATATCCTCAAACATAGCCTTAATTAACTTAGAGAACCACCAATTTAATTTCCTATTTTTACTTTTTGAATAAAAAATATTTGAGAAAATTAATTCCATCAAATATCGTCTAGTTGTCGGAGATGATGGCAATTTGATTATAAAAAATTATAAATTTTTATTACAAATGATTAAAGGTAATGAATTGAATTTTTACAAAATAAAGTTTTAGTAAATATTGTTATTTTCTTTATAACAGGTAAAACATTAGTATATTGTTATTGATACGTTCACTACCTATTTACTAATTTTTGAAAATTCGTACAATAATCTCAGATAAGACATTCAAAAACTTGATTTGACAATAATGACAAGCGTTTAAGCTTACCGTTCGTATTTATTGAACAGATTTAAGAACGCACCCCAGTAGACATAGCTGTCAAAACAAAACTTGGCTTCGTTCAATGACAATTACATTTTGTTTAGAGGTTAATTTGACCAGCTACGACGTAATATTTTTTATGATTATAATTCCTTAAATATTGAAAATAACACTCACTTCCATAATTAACACTTTTTTGGCTTCCTAAAAGCAAATACCCTTTTTAATTAAAATTAATAATAAATTGACAAAAAACAATTGAGAATACTTTTTATTTTAAAATTAGTAGGCCCCTATTTATATCATTTTTCTAAAAAAAAATATTAGAAACTATTTTTTATGTTAAAGTATTTCCTGAGATCTAACATAGCCTTATTTTTTTTTAATATTATATAAATATGAATTTATATATAAATTTTTAATGATCAAACTGAAAAAGTATGCACCAATCAAGGCGTTATATTTTTTACAATAATTTAAGTAAAAAATAATTTAATAAGTAATGAAGCATAAAAAATATGTTCAGTTTATAATGTCTGAAACACATTTTACAACATCGCATAACTAACCAATCATTGCGTAAAAAATTCTAATTTGTATAAAATGAAAGTATAATATAAAAAGGTACAAATGTGTATAGTGTATTCTAAAATCTTGTAAATTGGTCGTTTGTAAATATTTAAGAATAAAAAGTCAGCACTGATGTTTGGTTTCCCCTGACCAATAAAATGGGAGGCATGTCCTTCGTCAGTACTTCCAACCATGCCAAATACAATGGAGCAGATATAATGCTTTTTCGAGGAATTGGTAAAGTAACCACTACCATATTTGCCGAATGAGAATGCTCGATAAGCAATTCCCTTAACCTTAGATGCCTATTTGTTTTATCCTTAACAGCTAGAAGTTCAGCGTCAGAGATGTAACCTACAACACAATACAAATACAGGGTGGGGCAGAATAACGAGCGATTTTAAAAACCCGGCAACCGCAACGGTATCATTAGGAGGTGGTAGGGACGCTGACGTTACCAGACCTCGCAACGTGCGATTTTTTCTTGTGGGGTTAATATAAGTTTCAAGATAACCCGCCATAAACAATTGAGGCTTTGTAAAAACGGATTCGACAGTAAGTGGACCAAATTCGTCTGGCATTGCTGCGGTACGTAATGAATAATTTCAGATCACAATCGGAAGATTATGTACGTTTGAATGGACGTCATCTTCCCGGAGTTATTTTCAAAAAACAAAACCATTAATGCTTATTTATGTTCTTCGACAAAATAATAAATTAATTTGTAAAACTTTATTTTCTTCTTTTTTACAGTCTATTTAAAATCACTCGTTATTCAAGGTTAATTGTAAAACAATTCCAATCCATAAGGCGTAAAATATTATTCTTCGGATATTATTGGCCTCTTGGTATTTTACCATAGTTGGAGAAATTGCTTTTAGGAAAGCCTTTGCTTTGGCGGAAATGAGAATAATATGGCTAGGGGCATGGTAGAATGGAAAAAGTGGACTAGAGGAACTAAACCAAAATCAGTCGCCATTGAATAAGAAGACGAAGAGATAAAAAACAATGAACAATAATATGTATGTTAAATAAATGCTCCTCAAGGATATGATCAAAAATGGAAGTTTATTTTACCTATTGCGCCTAAAGGGTCTACTTACCTAATGGAGTAATATTGTCCGATGAACTCTCACCAGTTCGAAAATCGGATATGAGTAATTCAAAGAAATTTTTCGTATTCTCTTGAGGCTTGGCAGTTATATTCGGCATGATTTGCAAATCTTTATAGTCAATTCTGAACTTCGCCAAAAGACTAGCCATGTTGCGATGCTCGAGTTCTAGTTGGTCCTGTTTGTTTGCCAAAGCAAACACTCTCAATTTGCAACTGCTCCAATTCTTACGGGTGCTTATTATATACGGTAATAGAAGAGTTAAACCTAAAAGTAAATAAAAATGTTAAAAAATAAGCGTAAATGTTATTCTAGAATTGATTTTGATAAAAATTTAAATAAGAAATTTACCTCCATCGTCATATAACCACCACACGTCAATAGTTCCTTCTTTCCTTATTTTCTTCTGGAAGAAAAATATATCGGATGGTAATATTTCACCCTTAATATCAATTTGTTCTTCACAGATAGTATCCTCTGCTGAGTCACCAAGAGATTTTGCCTTTTTAGTTGATTCATCGGGGTTTGGCATTTCACTAATCACATCTTTATTGGTTTGGACTGATCTGTCACTACCGCTACTGGCTAAAGAATAAATAATTTATACCTGTAGCAAAAATTATCAAGAAAAAAAATTGTCGTACTAATTATAACAACTTTTTTATTAAAAAAAGAAAAAATAACATTTGTGACATGTTTCGTACATGAGAACAAGTTCAGATGACCTGTAGACTTCATAAATTGCTTTTGGTTTGCTTATGGGGGATACTTGATATTGGCACGAATTTGTAAATATACAGGGTGGCTCACGCTCAACGGGACGGAGCTTTATGGGAAAACGACCAAAGATATAAAAAATTCGTTTGGGAGGAATACGTAGGTTACAGACGGCTACAATTTAAAATTTGTTAGATGTATACAGGATGTCCCACATAAGAAAAAAAAATTAGTTCATTAAAAATTATTCAAACAAGAGTAAACAATTAATTTCTGGGAGACTTTTTTCCTTAAAAATTCAAATAAATCGAAAACTAATAATAATAGTAATAGGGAACCTTTAGTTAACTGACATTATTTTTGATGTAGTTTTTAATTCTAAAATAAAAAACAGGGTGTTCCATTAAAAATAATATAACTTTGTATATTTTCTCTTATGTGGGACATCCTGTATACATCTAACAAATTTTAAATTGTAACCGTCTGTAACCAAACGATTTTTTTATATCTTTGGTCGTTTTCCCATAAAGCTCCGTCCCGTTGAGCGTGAGCCACCCTGTATAGGGGAAAGATGTACAAAATGACATAGGGTTTTTCCAACTTGAAAAATTATTAAAAAATAAAAAAAATTAATTTCCTCATTAATTAAACATAAGGTTACTTAACTTTACTTTACCGTTTTTTAACAACATAATAAAAGACATATTTTTAAAAAAATTATAAACAGAATAGCGAAAAATTCACTTTACCCATGCGGGTAAAATGACACACTTTTTTAAGGTTTTTAATCACAGTACAAATTTCACAAATAAAAGCTTTAGTTTTCTTGTCTACCCCAGCACAATCAGCATGTGCCCACAACAAGCAAGAGCGACACTGAAGCCATATTTCTCCAGGTCTGGACCTTTTGTATTGTTCCGTGAAGTAAATACATGAGCAATCATCATCTTCGTCTTCAGAAAATGGCTCTTCGTCTGAGTCGGTCTCTATTATAGGCAACTTCTTAGTTACTGTTTTCAGTTTTTTTTTCTGAGACCTTATTTTTAGGTCTGCTCTTCTCTTCTGCTTCCTCTAAATTGAGAGTAGAATTTGAAATATTCGATCCTTATCATTTTCTGGGTTTTCTTTTTACTTGTTCTGAAACAAATGACCCAACTGGTATTGGACTTAATTCTGCCAAACTAACACTCAAGGAGCTTTCAGTTGCATTATTTTCTGAAGGGAAAATATCTTCTTTGCTTGTTCCATGCTGCGGTTCATCAATAATAGAATTATTTTCTGAAAGTTTTGGTATGGGAATGTCTTCTGTGCTTGTTTCAGGCTGTGGTTCAGCAGTAACTGAAATATGTGTTGTTTCTAATGCCTGGAACATATAATCTGGAAAAACCTCGGCGTTCATTGGGCATATCTCAGTTTGCGCGAAACCATGAATTGCATTTTGCGTGACTACTCTACCGGGATGTGTTTTAAGCCGCTTGCTCATCTCTTGGTCATAATAAACCTTTAATGAACCAAAAAATTATACGTCTAGTGGCTGCATTCTATGTGTGTATTGTGGAGGTAGACATAGAAGCACAATTCCCTGCTCTTTGGCATAAATAAGGGCATCCAGGTATTTATAGCTTGAATCCCCATCCACAATTAAAAGAACCATTTCATCTAGGGAAGCCTTCACATATTTTTGGAAGTGTTTCAACCAATTTAGGAAGATTGGCCCGGTCATCCATCCAGATTCTTGAGGTATGCCCAGAGTTCCTGGTGGAGTATGATCAATTAGTTCCTTTTTCATATTTTTTCTTGCGAAAATTATTGCTGGTGGAACAAAACTACCGTTGCTACACATACAACAAACCACAGTTACGTGACTTCCTCTCTCGGCACTCATAACAACACCAACTTGCTTTCTGCCTGCTGTGGCTAATATATTTTAAGGACGTTGCACACTAGACAGCCCCGATTCGTCTACGTTATATATTCTCATTTGGACTATGTTTCCTTTTTGTAACGTATCTTCTAGAAGGGTAAAAAATTTAGCAACTTGTGTTAAAGGTTTGAGCTCTCGCTGCCGATGTGGCTTCTGGTTTACGCAAGGATATATCCGGATTTCTTCGTCTGAACTCTCGCAGCCAATCATTTCCTGCTGTTTTCTTCTCGTTGTTGAAGAAGTGTTGAAACCTATTCCTAACAGCTAATTGGTAGGCTAGTTCAAGAACTTCTTTTCTTGTGAGTCCGAAAAACCATGACTCTAGTAATTTGATATGTTCAACTAGTTGCCGTTCTACGTCAGGAGGAAACGTGGGTCTAAATCTGCCAATCTGCTTTTCTCCAGTCTTCGTCAACTTATTTTTCTTTAATGCATGCCTCCTCAAGGTTGCTTGAGGAACACCTTAAATTTTCGACGCCCTATTGCCATCCCATGTCGCCATTGGTAACTGATTCTACTGCCTTCAGCATTGACGTGGTACTTCATGATTGCCTGTTAGTCTTTCTAGCATATGACCGAGGCATTATAACATCTTCAACCAAGTAAAGGTATGCATTAATCTTCTGATGTTGGTCGGGTAAAATGATATACTGTGCCATTTTCCCCTCCTAGCGCGTATTAGAACAAATTAAAGTTCTTCATATTATATTTTTATTTGAATCCTGATATGTATACCTGTAAAAAGATGCATTAACATAACTGATTAAAATTACTTATCAAATAGTTCTGTTTGATATTTAGCACCGGTTAAAAACCTTCAGCATAAAATCTTTTATGCACGCTGTACAATTGCCAAACGCGAACTGAAGATAGACGAGAATACTAGCGTCACCTGATTGGTACGTAGGCCGATGTTGCCGTAATTCCTACTTGTCTGTTAACGATGGTATGCCATTTTACCCAACTTTGTCATTTTGTACACATTTCCCCTACTTTTAATATACATTTGAAAGTATTGTAGATTATGACAGAGAGACAAGAGTTGCATTGTGTAAGACCCCCTATAGCTTCTATAGACGCTGGCTCAGTGTTAATTAATATTTTAGTTGTACCTTCTCTATAAAGGTTCGTAGTACTGTACCCGTTAGGTACTCTTTGTTCTCAGCTTGCAATTATATAGTCCACCAAGCCAAAAATTGTTTGAAAACTTTCAAATTACAATCCCGCACGCCAATCAATACCCTAGACTTAAGAACAATCAGATTATGCTTGACGAAAACTACTTTAGACTACATGCTGTTACCATTCCTCCAGTTCAGTAGGGAAAAAAGATACCACACATCCTAAATTCTTCCGACAAATCAGCCCCACATCATTTGTATTAAAAACAATGGTTGATTATTACATCAGAACAGAAATCCTGGAGATGGTGCCACTCCATCACAGCCAGTACGCGCAACGAACAGGAAGATCTACAGAAACTGTCCTGGTACTGTTGGAACCCATGATGCACTAACAAAAAAAAAACGGTCGTATATGTGCTTTCTTAGACATAGAAGGAACGTTTGACAACATGCCACACGAATATGTCGAAAGAGCACTCGCATACAGAGGAGTAAATAGCACCATATCCAGATGGTTGGCTCAGCTGCTCTCTACGAGAACTGCAGAGAAACATGAGGATATCCACAAGGAGGAGTTCTATCCCCACTAATGTGGAGCCTAACCGTAGACGAATTTCTATGCAGATTTAATGACCTCGGTATACCCTATCAAGGTTATGCCGACGACATAGTCATATTTGCTAGAGGCAAGTTTGGAAATATTCTGTGTGATATAGCCCAAATGGGACTAGAATACATCAACAGATGGTGCTAAGATGTGGGACTTAGTATAAACCCCACCAAAACAGTACTCTTTTCAATATTAAAACAGTGAAATTAGACGAAGTAGATATCGAATGGAAAAAGAAGTCAAATATCTATGCCTAACCCTGGACAACAAATTTCTCTAGAACCTATATGAAAAGGAAGTAGTAAATAAGGCCATAAACGCCCCAATAGTATGCAGAAATATTGCGGGTTGAAGATGGGGATGTAACCTGAACAGACAACGACTGATGCATACAACAATAGTGAGACCAATCATCACTTATGGAGCTTGTAGCCTGAAGTAACAGAACTAGTTTAGCTCCTACGTGAGCTAATATCTCAAAAGTACAAAGACTAGCCTGTGTTTGCATCAACGGTTCAATGAGAACCTGTCCTATTTCCGCAATAGAGGTGATTTTAAACCTTACCCCTCTACATTTAATTAAACAGATTTGTATTCGCTATATTAATGTCCCACTTACAGTCAAGTTTTAACAAAAATAATCGATTATGTCATTATATTTAGGTATACATTTTTTTATTGTCTGCAGATCGTAGAAAAGTAGTTTAAAGGTAAATTATGTTTAATGTTTAAGTGAAACAATCTTGAAAACAATTAGGCATTCCAACGATCTGCCAAACAATAGCTGCCAGTGGAAGGGTCGTATATCTAAGGGTATTGTGACGTATTCTTCCATCTTGGACGCTATTTTTATTCGAAATAGTAGTCTCCAAGCCTGCCAATTTATGAAAAATGTTCAAGCGGTTTTTTTTTAAATAATATTTAAATTTAATTCATTATTCATTATTTCACATATTGTAGGTATAATATATCATATATCCCAACCTCTTAGACATACCAAGCCTTCCTACCGATAGTTCTTTTGTTTGGAATGCCTAATAGAAATAAAATGTTTTTGAATACCTACAACCTCAAATTTTATAAGTCAACTGTCATTGTTAGTGAAACACAAATTTCGTCATCACTAATACAGCGTATTTAAAGAAGTTCGTTTCGCAGTCATGGTAGCCATACACCAACATGATAATTCTCAATATAATTTTACTTACCTTGGGACATTTGACTGTATGATCTATTTCTCTGCAAATTGGTTGTGCTTTTGGTCTCCTCATCGAACAAGAGGCTAGAATCGAACCCTTGTTGTATCCTAATAATACCACAACCCATATGCAAGTCGAAAGCATTACTGAAAATAAAAACTCATTTTTTACCGTTGTAGACATCTAATCCAGAACAAAACGCATCGTTAAAATGTTTCACAAAAGAATTACCTACCTATTGTGGACTCTATTATTAGTATTCCATCAAATAAAATAAATAAATAAATTTGGAGAAGTACATGTAAATCTTGAATGATTTTCATCAAGTAAAGGCCGAAACAATAAATAAATTAAATAAAGTACATGTAAATGTAATGTCTGATCAAAAATTCAGATGACAATCTAAATATAAATAATGAATGGCCGCCTGGCAAACGAGGTTGCCAGGTAGTTGTTTTTCTGTTATATTTTTTTGTGCATCACTCCATAATGTACTACGCCTACACAAAATGAATTTACTTACTGTACGACCTCAAAGTATTGCTCCAAATCTTCTCTCGGACATGTCTGCCAGTCATTCTTGAAACCCATTAGAAGAATGTTCGGCTTTAACTTTCCTATTCCGCAGGCTTTGGATAAAGCTTTACAACCTTCCTCGAAAGACATTCCATCGATTTGCATGTAGAAACCTTTAAGCTTGTGGGCTTTTAACCAACTGGTGGCTTTGTAGTGCAAGACGTTTCTTACTCTTTGGGAAAGAGTACTCTTAAATGAGAATAAATTGTAATTAAAATGAATTATTCCATATGATAAATAAGAAGGTTTACCCTATTAATATGTCCACAAACTAATAATGATAGGTTCTTGGTTAGTAAATGGGCGAAATCAACGAGAGCTGGTCTCGCACTTGGCATTCCAGATAGGCATAAAATTTGTGGCCTGTAATTTTTTACATGTTCTTCAACTGAATTCAATTGGTATACGGCTTGTAGAGCGTTTTTGTAAATTTGCGCTTGGGTACTAGAGCCCCAATTCACATCTGAAAATTGAAGTAAAGCATTTCTGATTATACAGTTAGGGATTCAAACTTGGGATATTTTGAGAACATTCTAAACTAACAATAACAAAAATAAATCTACTACTTACTTGGTTTTCTATAGGAGACGACCAAATATAACGTGAGGACAGCTGCGAACGTAACAAGAGCCGTAATCCATGATATAAGAAACATCACCATCAAGCATAGTATCGAACCCAGAAGACTTAACCACATATTGTAGTACTAAAAATATTGGTTAGTCAAGACGAGTTGCCTAAAATGGTTATCCATTTTATTTGTACCTTAAATGTCGGCCTCCAGCCCACCGGTTTCACCAAAGATGCGTGGAAAGTCGAAAAATTTATTAAAGTATACGCTGCCAGAAATAAGTTTGATATCAGGGGTGCTATTAGATTTAATTCACCTAAAATTAAATTATTATTATTTTACCAATTTAAGGTACAAGAAAAATTATATTTTATTCACTGCGTACCATCTGCTATCACCCTAGTCCATCTCCAGAGGGTCAAAAGTGGCGGCACTGAAGTCTTCGAGACTGCGTGCCACCATTTAAGAATCTTTTCCGCACATATTTAGTCGATTTGCAAGTGAGTCACACTTTTAGTCACAACTCTAGTAAACATGGCCTTAATGACAATTTTAAACAGTGATAAAAATAGATTAATTCAATAACAATATAAGTTAGCGAAACATCGAACAAGAAGCTAAATGGATCAGAGGATCAATACAAGATACCTACACAACGTTTCAAGATATACCGTATATCAATAATACCGAGGATAATACTGATTTCAAAGCAAAAAGGAATGGCATAAAGAAGAGTGGTTAGAATCAAAGTTACATCTTGTAGATAATGTAGTATTTTTCTCCAAGCAAGCAGTAACAATAACAAATAAATATTGGTACTTTGCAAGAGGAAATCTCCTTTTCTAAAGTTTTTTCATACACCTTAATTTATATTTTATTTCCTTGCAGTTCTTGGGTTTTTAGGTGCTGGTTGAGCTTCATTTCTCAACCAGCACCTAAAAACACAAGAACTACAAGGACAAAAATAACAAATAAAAGTGAAGAATTGATTACTAACGCATTTAAAAAGAAAATGAGAAATAAACAATAGAGAAAAGTGAGGATTAGGAGATTGATAGATTTCATAAAAACCACTTACAGAACTGGAAAATATAAACAGAAAAAATTTAGAGTTCAGTGTCCAGAATATATAAAAAGATATTAAAAACATAAATTAATCTTTCTTTTTTTAATTTTCAAATGTCATTTATTTTCACATGCAAGTAACTAAGTATCACTAACAGTTAAAAATCTATTTTGTAAACCCAAAAAGGTCCGCCTATGACTAATTATCTTCCTTACCTATTAGAATAAATCCCACGGCAATAACGAAAGTTAAAACATAACCCCTAATAGGCTCATTATTGTTTCCATAACCTTTTGCGAACCATACTATTCCTGGATATAGCTTATCTTTACAAAGTGCTTGAAACACTTTTGGTGCAGATACCAAGGAAGCTAATGCTGATGATAATGTTGCTGCAAAACATCCTGCATAGATAATTGTTCCGACCCAAGACACCAATTCTACTGCCTAAAAACGTTTCCCAGATTCATATATAAGGAATATATTTTGAGAGCCACAAAGCAGGACCTCGTACGTCGCAAAATCAACATTTTTCAGGAGATGAAAAAACGATTCACACGTGCATCTTAGAACAATCCATTTTATTCTATAATAGGACTAATATTTACCCATATTTCGTTTAAAAATTGTAATACTTTCCCTATATAGAGCAAAATGTTTTAAACGAGATTATCATAAAATATAATTTTCAGTGGAAATGTTAGTTACGAGGTCCTGCGTGGTGGCCCTCGATTTTGAAAATGTATATTTTTGGTGATATTCATCAGTTTTTAATGTTGCCTATCACCGAAGATTTAGATAGATAAGGATATACTTAAGTAATCATTATTATATGTATATTTTAATTTTACCTGAAAGTCGTTATGAAGTCCAAATCGACAATGGCCTGGTGGACAAATAGGCCAACTACCGTTAATATAATCAAATGGATTGCCAGTAGCATCTCTCAAAACAGTACATCCTGCTACAATCGCCATTAAAATGTATGTTATAGTTGTTATTAATATAGAGAGTAAAGTTCCTTTGGGAATGGCTGTTTGAGGATCCTGAAAATGTAAAATATTTAATGCATTTTTACTTTTAGTGGTAATAAAAAAATATATTTATTAAATCCTTGTTATAAATATTATGATTGTAGAAAAATTTAATATAATAAATATTGTAAAATGAAATCAATTATTAGAGAAATTATTTATTATTGTTTAGGTGTATAATTCTTTTTTGAAGATAGGAATAACTATGGAATTTTTAAATATAGTTATCAGGAAATTTATTATTTTATAACATATTATCTTATTTTTAGAGAATTAAAAAATGTCGATGCAGAGTCGTTTAAAGTGAAAGCTGTAATTTTGTAAGATGCCTTAGTATTTTTTGTTTATATTTTTTCAGTGCTTTAAAAAATAAATAAGAAGAGTATTTTAAATTTTAGATATTAGTATTTTCATTATGATTTATCTAAATTGAAATGTAATTAATGTCCTGAGGATTATAAAAATTTAAATTCTTTAGTATTTCCATTTACAGTTATCGCCGTTTTTCTTCAAAGATTTCTGAACATGATGTTTTGTTTCGAGTTCTCTAATAACACATTTGACAACCAATTTTCTTTTAAACAAACATAATAGAGTTGAAAATTTACAATACGCGCATACAAAATAAATATGTAATGACAACAGGGTAATTTTCAAACAGTTTGGTCGTGCTTTAATCCCTTAAGTCCATCTCTGTCTTATTTGGGCCTTTTACGGCTTCCATTTTTCCTATTACCTTGTCACAGCTGGTCACATTTGTGAGACTTCCCCTCCCTATTGTGACGTCACATATTTTGTAATGTTACATCTAGAAATTATTAAATTAAAAATATTTCATTAATAGTTAAAATTTCGTGTTTTAATACATAAATATATTACATTTTGAAATGTGACGTCACCAAATTTAGTACCCCTTCCACCCCTTGTCACACAATGTCACACTTCGTCGACCCCCTCCCCCCTTAACGTGTGACCTAATTTTTGGATGACACGATCTGTAACGTGTGGAGGGTGGGGTAACTCACGGCACTTAGGCCTCACTGGGCCCATTGCGCATCCTCCTAAGTAGATAGGCACCTCCTAGCTCGTGAGCCAGCCCACAGATATAATGTAGTTGACAACGTCGCCAAAAGGTGCTTCTTTTATATCGGCCGGTGTTAGCCAATTCTCGCCGAACACAAATCATCTAATAAATGAGAGTGTCGGGCAATCGTAGAGGATATGCTCGATGTCATAATTTTCTTGTTCGCACGCCCTGTAGAGAACGGATTCTGACAGCACCATGGTATGGAGATTGTTCCGTAATTGACAATGCCCAGTCACAATGCCTGTGATCAGGCGCAAATTCTTTATAGTCATAGTCAAGTATTTGTTTGCTGTAGTGTTGGCAGGATAACTTAAAAGCTCCCTGGCAAGTCTGAAGCTTCTTATTTCATCCCATCTCTCCTTGAATTTCATAAGGGAATGTTCCTTAATTAGGCTTGTCACTACCGATGTTGTCAGTCCGTTGGTTGGCTGTGCATTGGTTGCCTGCCTCTTGGCAAGTGAATCAGCAAGATGGTTGCCTTTTTACTTCAAGAAAATGAATAGTCTGTCATCCGTTATACAGATGGGTGAAGGTCGACCTTACTTCGGAAACTAGACTACTAGAAAATACCTAACCCGTCGATGAATGATGACGAAACATTTAAAGAGATCGACATTATGGTATACGCACGGGTTCGATAGTACGTCTGGAATATTCTGCAACGCTCATTATGTATATAAATCATTGAGAATAAAGCGGAGATGCTATGACAATGCTAAATTGTCCGCACCTTTGCATTACATTTTTACGTCAATGTCAAACTCGAGATAGTGTAGCTAGTTAGTTTTGGTGAGAATAAATGCCATTTTTCTTTAAATAGCTTCATATAAGTGATATAATAGTATATTATTAAACGAGCAATTTATGGTAGCCATTATTCACGCAAGTCACCCGAGTGAATAATGGCCATAAATTGCGAGTCTAATACTATACTTTGTCCACGACCATTATGGTTTCTTTATTAAATAAAAGTTAAGTGTAGAATGGAAAGTTTTTATTAAACATAGGTAACTAACTGTTGTTTTTTCCACTTTTCAATTTTCGATTTTTCGATTTATCGATTTATCGTTTTTTGATTTTTCGATCTAGAAAATATCGTTATGAAAAGTATCTTCTATCTTTAATTATCTACCGGAATGTGCCAGAATTACAAAAGCGTGAATTATCATAATTCACTCCGTGATATATGGGTACTATATGCTTTTAGTTAGGAGGTACAATATTGATTTATTATTAGGTGGTCGTGGAGAAAATTATTTTCATTCTGTCAATCTTCAAATATAAAATTATTGAATTCAAAAAAATCAAAATACGACTCAAGTCGCCATTTTCATTACATTTTTCCGTCACTTTAATTGTAATATATATAAATTGGTGTTTTATTTAGTACAAATAAATTGAGTTATAAATTAAATGTCTTAGTGAAAATAAAACAAAATAAACAAATTGTTTAAATAAATAAACATTAGATTGGTGTCAGAAATTAGATACTGTAAACAAATAGTGGGCGAAAATGTCTAAAAAAATGACAGGAAACAAAGCAGAGCAGGCAGAGTGACTTAAACAAGCAATATAAAGTAGGATTTTGGATATGAAAACGATTCTATTTTCTGATAATATGCCTTGTTATTATTTCTTCTGATATCTCTTCTTTAGGAAATAAAGTTTCTTCTGATATTTTTTCCTTAGAAACTAACGTTTTTACCGATATTTCTTCTTTGGAAAAAAGGGATTCCGTTGAGGAGAATATAAAAGAAATGGAAAAGAAAATAAAGGAAACAGACAGGCAAGTTGTGAAAAATACAGAAGATGCCAAGAATGACGAAATAACGTCCCCTGAGAGGTGCGTAGTCAAAGCCGAAATTAGAATAAATTTTAAGTTTTGCTCGTGTTAAAGCCCCAACTTTCAACGGACCAATTACATAAAGTAGTTCGAAACAGCTTCAAAAGCAAACGAATTTTTAAAAGAGAAAATGCAGTATCTGACCACCATCCTTTGGGGAGATGCTTTACAGTAGGTATTCTTCACTACTATACGTGTCATTGAAATTTAAATTACCAAAACCACTTGCAGCATAGCAGGATGTGTATCAATCACAGGTAATAATTTCTTTTTCATCTAAATTTGGTAACTTTTGATAATTGTAACCAATAAAATCACCAAATACAAGTTTATTCAGATGTTTTCATTCTCGTTTTTTTTTCTTTAAATATTCTCAGTATAAGTCTAAGATGGCCCTGGTGCTTACCTTTAGATCTCCAGAAATATTGGCTCCAGCTAAGATTCCAGTGGCTGCTGGAAAAAATATAGCGAAAACGCTAAAAAAATTATGATTGATTCCTTCCGATAACCTGTAGTCCGGGGAAAGGTTAATTCTAGCCAGTGTCGCTAAAATAATAAATCAAATTTGTCATATAATAGAACTTTAATATCAAATTAATAATTTAGAGTTTAAAATTTACCGTTATATCCCACGAACCCTTTGGCTTTAATTTCTTCAGACCTTGGCCCGATGAAACTTCCAATGAAATAATCTACTATAGCCACCAAAAGTATTACCAACAGTACAAATTGGGCCTAAAAATTAAAACAATATTGTAGTTATTTATAATAGGTATTTGTTTCTAAAATTCGTTTCTAGAATTATTGTGATTTTTTGGTCTTGATCACCTTTTAAACAGATGATGTTTATAAAGTACATTTTTTTTAAATAACCCATAAGAAACAATACCTATATTGTGCAACAAGTGTGTGCATAAAATAACCTATTCGTCACTATAGTAAACAGTCACATTTTTTGACAAAATTTAAAACAGGATGGGGTTATAGCGCGCATGGGGCACTAGCGTTTTAACCCGTTTCTCACAACGTATAGCAGATGGCGCAACGACATTACTATGAAAGGATGCAATTATAGTCGAGATCTCCACCTGGTTCAAAGGGAGCTTGTGGTGGTAATGGTTGGAGTAATAAAGATATTTTTGTGGGATTGATGAAACATTTTATAGATCATGTTAAGCCTTCAGTTTCAAATCGTGTTTGTTTACTTTTAGACAATTATGAAAGTCATATATCTTTACAGTGCAACGATCTCGCTAAAAAAAATTGAATTGATTTGCTATCACTACCGACACATATACACATACTTTACACAAGATACAGAGCCGTTAGATCTAGTTTTCTTTCGACCATTGAAAATTGCTTTCAATAATTAATATGTTTATTGGATGAAAATATTGAGACGAATTGAGCACCTCCTCCTTTTTTGGATGTCGGTTAAAAATCAATTGCACACAACGAAATACAGTGTATAAAATTGCAGAGGTGTTTGGCTAAGTATATTAAAAAGTTATACACTGTGGATAAAGGGGTTAAAGGTTTTCAAAGAGCTGACATTTATCCTTTTCAACCCACTGCCTTCAATGAAGAAGATTTTGCACCAGCAAATAGATTATTGAACGTTTCTGTTAATGTAGCAACAAGTAATGGGACTGAAACAAAAAAATCCATTGATGAACAGGAGAATGTTGCTACATCATGTACGTCTACTGCACTAAGTAGAGAACTACAAAATAATACAACCGCCAGAAACAACAACATTGAATTCATATCATGAATACGTTTTCAGTTTGCCGAAACCACAACCAACTGATTACAAGAAAATACAAAGAAATTTTAAGTGGGAGGAATTAGTACTAAAAGAAACTAACAAAATTAGAAGAAAGGAAGTTAAGTTTTGAAAGATTCTAACAAAAAACCAGCAAAAGACATACAAAAGAAACAAGCAAAGAAGTAGGACAGTGATTCGGAAAATGAAGCAATTATTGTTATTCAGTTTTTCGATGACTAAGTTGTAACTGATGATGACGTGGAACAGCCTTTAGATTTTAATGCTTTAACCGAGTTCCAAAAAAGCACGATTATGTGTTAGTGGGGTTTAAAATACGTGAAAACAATATTGTTTATTATATTGGAAAAATTTTGACTAACAAAGATGAAAACAAAGAATTTGAAATTTTGTTTTTACGGAACTAGTCCAAAAATATTTTCTATTTCCGAAAATCTCGAAAACTGGTTCAATTACGGAAAACAATCGTTTTGAATTAGAAGTTTTAAGTACTGACGCTAAGTTGGTGTAAAATAAGTGTTGAGAATTCAAGTAATTCTCAACGGAAGTTAAATTCAAATTTACCGCGGCAAGTTGTCAATGGCCGATGAATATGCGCCAACTCGATTCCCTGTAAAAATTCGGGAAATAACGATAAAAAGTATTATCTGCTCCTGGACGGATGGACGGAGGACGGATGTGTCACAAATTAACTCTTTTTAAAACACTTTGATTCGGTGGTGACGAGAAGCCGGTAAAATCTCGGAATTGCACCTCTTAGGTATATCAGTAAAAGAGGTCCGTGAAGTCAGCACCGACAAATCCGAATTTTTATAAAAATAAATTGCCATTCGTGTGCCACGATTAGTCCACGTTTGTCATACAAAAATTTTCGTTTGTCCACCCTTCAAAAAAAATTATTCCATATTTAAAAATTTTAGTCGAATTTCACAGCACCGCCATAAAAACTTTTTAATAATTTCAAAGTGGTATTCGATTGTCCACGATTAGTCCACGTTTGTCCAACCAAAGTTTTCGTTTGTCCACCCCCCAAAACCGAGATTATAATATACATAAATATTATTCTATAATTTATCAGTTTCTAAGTTCATGGGATATTTATGGTTATGGAAAAATAATTATTCTTCACATAAATTAATTGCCTTTAACAGCTTATGTCAGAATTTTTTTATATTTTGGGTTCTTTGCTTGTCGATAACTAAAAGTTATTTTAGACGGACAAATGAAAATAATTTGTTGCCAAACGATTGTAGTAGTTTCTTTTAATAAAATGCAATTAAAAATACTTTTATTATAATTGTTCCTGTTTCGAGCCCTTTATTTATTAATAACTTTATTTCTGTTGTATGAAAAAAAGAAAATAAGACTCGGAAAAACGAAAATAAGTTTTGGACAAACGAAAATAATGTGTAAACAATAGAATGCCACTTTAAAATTATCAAAAAGTTTTTATGGCGGTGCTGTGAAATTTGGCTCAAATTTGTAAATTTGCTATAATTTTTTTTGAAGGGTGGACAAACAAAAATTTGGCTTGGACAAACGATTGTCGTATCTAATTCGTATAAAATGTATTAAGGTTGTCCCCAAAGACCATCTGCATTATTTATTTTATTTTTTAAATATCTCGGTTTTGGGGGGGTGGACAAACAAAATTTTTTGTTGGACAAACGTGGACAAATCGTGGACAATCGAATGCCACTTTGAAATTATCAAAAAGTTTTTATGGCGGTGCTGTGAAATTTGGCTCAAATTTTTAAATTTGGTATAATTTTTTTTAGAAGGGTGGTCGTGTCTACTTCGTGTGAAATGAATTAAGGTTGTCCCCAAAGACCACCTGCATTATTTCTTTTAATTTTTAAATATTCCGGTTTTGGGGGTGGATAAACGAAAATTTTGGTTGGACAAACGTGGACTAATCGTAGACAATCGAATGCCACTTTGAAATTATCAAAATGCTTTTATGGCGGTGTTGTGAAATTTGGCTCAAATTTTTAAATTGGCTATAAGTTTTTTTTGAAAGGTGGACAAACGAAAATTTTTGTTGGACAATTTCGGATTTGGCGGTGCTAACTCCACGGACCTCAGTAAAAGTACCTACTATTAAAAAGTGTGAAGTGGAGTGTTCAAAGGATTACATGTAAGCTTGGTACTGATATAATAAAAAGTCTGGAAATTCCCTAAAACTTTCATATATGCACTTAATTCTCCTCTCGAATTATACCACCATTTTATTAGTTAAGTCAATTAAGCATTGTTGCCAGATTGTGTGCTGAGTCGCTTGGCTCCTAAATATTATTAACTGTTTTTTCCAATACTGAATATAGTAGTTATTTATAAACAGTAATATTTTATTCATATCTCCCTTTTTTCCCCTCCTTTCAGTAACCTTATTTTAAAAAAAGTAGTTTAAAATCGAAGCATTATGTGCAGCCACGAGTAGTTGTCCACCGCTTAATACAGTCCACTAATTACTTAAACTACGCATTTTAGGCCGTGTCCCGCACAATAAGAGAAATTCTTCACAAAATATAAGAAAAAAGAAAGATATACACAAACTAATCCAAAAAAGTGTTTAAAAATGTTGAGATGTATTAGCCATTGCACTCATTTTACTAACTAATATTAAAATGAAATTACCTGAACCAGTTCTCCATGGGGTTACTAAGCCAAAACAGTCGTGTTTAGATTTTGGAGTGACATTTGGCACATTAAAAGTCGATTAAGTTTAACTATAACTAATTTAATTCTCATGTCTATGAGGTTTTATTTTAATTTTTTAGAATAAATATTTTACTTTCGAGGTATTGTAACTAACTATAAAAAAATGCCTTAGTTTTTTCTTAATTCTTTACAATAAACAGTTTGATTTTAATGCCTAATTTTTTCCTTTTTCCATTTAAATTACATAGTGGTAGATATGGGGCAAATTCGTTTAAATTATACGTTATGACCCCACCTATATGGTGTAACAGCATCTTCAATAAAATTAATACTGTAAATGGCTGGTTTTGCCATAATTTCAAATACGTTACAGTTACTAAAATGTAATTGTAGTTTCTACGTTAAAAAGAAAAATCGAGCGCTATTACCCCACCTTCCCCTAAATTTTATTAAATGTCAAATATGCACTGGTTATCAAGGCTTAATAGTTAATGTAGGTATTGTAATATTATATTTCCTCTAGAGAAATTTTGCAGAGTAAACTTGATTATTATATAATCATTAATTTCTAAAATATTTGCATTTTATCTATAAAGAATGATACTTATAGTTATAGGGTACAGAGGTTATGTACTTACTTTTCTTGATTGAACAATATCAACAAACGGAATGTAAAAATAAAATCAAGGCAGTAACTACTATGTGGCAGGTGTATGCAATGCACAAAGCCGCCACCACAAGGCCTGCTGTTCAAAATATTTTGTAATTATCGCATAATTATATTGTTTCAAATTATTTACTTTAAAATTTAGCTATCATAGCTATAGGACAGAGATACATTAGAACAGCATTACACCAAATCGCGAAAGTAAAATAAGTTCACATCGTTATGGATTACTACACGGCACTGAAATAATCTTTCTAAAGGTATATTAAAGCAGGTGACTAAAAAAAAGCGCAAAGTAAATGAGTGCACAGGAAATATCTGCACAGAAAAAAACGCACAGTCATTTAAGCGCATAAGATATAACCACACATGGAAAAAACTTCACAGGTATAAAAGTACACATGAAAATTAGCGCAAAAGTTGCTTTTTATTTATTATTAGGTACACCAACCAGAAAAAATATCCAGGTTCGAATTAATAAAAAATCATTACATTTTTGCGACCTTACAACGACAATTTTTTCAAATCCATTTGCATTGCTGAAAAGAGCACAAAAAATATATTAAGGTAGCAGTGTATTATTCAGTTTTCCTCCTATAATTTTACTTTAAACTTGAATCG